TTTTTATGAGGATAGTGATGCACAGGTTAGGGTGTGTAGAAGAGAGGGAGATTATTTTCCAGTAAAAGTAGGTCTTAGACAGGGATGTGTAATGTCACCATGGTTGTTTATTATATTTATAGATGGGGTTATAAAAGAAGTAATTGCTAGGGTGCTGGGGAGAGGGATGGGATTAAATTATGGGAAATCAAATACAAAATGGGAGTTGACACAGTTACTCTTTGCTGATGATACTGTGCTTTTGGGGGATTCTAAAGAAAAGTTGCAAAGGTTGGTGGATGAGTTTGGGAGGGTGTGTAAAGGTAGAAAGTTGAAAGTGAATATAGATAACAGTAAGGTGATGAGGGTATCAAATGATTTACATAAAGAAAAATTGGATGATACACTGGAGGGAGGGAGTATGAAAGAAGCGAATGTTGTCAGATATTTGGGAGTTGACTTGTCAGCAGATGGGTTTATGAAGGATGAGGGGAACAATAGAATTAATAAAGAAAAAAAGGTGAGTGGTGCACTGAGGTATCTGTTTAGACAAAGAATCTTATTCATGGAGGCAAAGAAAGGAATGTGCGAGAGTAGAGTGGTACCAACACTCTTACATGGGTGTGAAGCATGTTGCAAATGCTGCAGCGAGGAGGCGACTGGAGGCAGTGGAGATGTCGTGTCTAAGAGCAATGTGTGTTGTAAATATTATGCAGAGAATTCGAAGTGTAGAAATTAGGAGGAGGGGTGGAGTTAATAAAAGTACAGTGGTCCCTCAATTATCGTCCATAATCCGTTCCTGGAAGTGGGACTGTTATCGAAATAGACGATTTTCGAATCAATTTTCCCCATAAGAAATAATGTAAATACAATTAATCCGTTCCTAACACCCAGAAGTATTAAAACAAAAAATTTTTTTACATGAAATATAGATGTAGTACATAAACAATACAATGGCTCATGATTAATGAAACATTAACAGCATAACATTTACCTTTATTGGCGATTCTTCTTAGTGTATGGAAGACTGGAGGAGGAGAGAGATTGCATTAGTTACTGTTTGGAAGGGGAATCCCCTTCCATCAACACCTCAGGTACCAAGTGCTTTTCTGGGGTTACTTCTCTATTCTGTTTCTTAATGCCACTAGGACCAGCTTGAGAGTCACTGGAATCCTGTCTCGCAAAAAAACTGTTCAGAGAGCTCTGTTTCTGGCGTCTCTTTAAAACTTCCCTAAAATGGGCCAAGACTTTTTCACTGTACAAGTTGCCGATATGGCTTGCAACATCCTTCTCAGGGCGATGTTTCTCCATAAATCTTTCCATCCTACCCCACATTTCAAAAATCTCCTTAATTTCTGAAGAAGGCACCTTCTTCCATCTCTCTTCCTCCTCCTCTGCAGCAAGATTCTGAGCTGCAATCTGTTGCTCTTCCTGCTGAAACTCTTGCTCCTTTCATATTGTTCAATGATGTTTTTCTTAAATTCAATTGTATTTCTCACCTTCTTTACCAAAGGTTTGGCACTAAGAGCTTTCTCTGGAGCCATGGTAGCTTATTTAGCACTTGCAAGCACTAAAATGAATGGAATATTATGAAATATTTCGTATGAACACGTGAGGGGACCATCACTCACTGATAAACAATGGCACACTGGCTGGGAATGGCTCAGAGCCGTGAGTACGCGTCCAGGACAAAAGACGATTAGCGAGTTAATGGACCATTTGCGAGCCAACGTTTGGACGAAATAACGGGACTATTTCCGAAATGGACGACTTTCTGGCTGGACGATTACTGAGGGACCACTGTATTAGTTAGAGGGCTGAAGAGTGGCTGTTGAGGTGGTTTGGTTATTTAGAGAATGGAACAAAGCAGAATGACTTGGAGAATGTATAAATCTATTGGGAAAGGAAGGTGGGGTAGGGGTCGTCCCTGAAAAGGTTGGAGAGAGGTGGTAAAGGAGGTTTTGTGGGCGAGGGGCTTGGACTTCCAGCAAGCGTACATAAGTGTGTTACATAGGAGTAAATGGAGATGAATGGTTTTTGGGACCTGACGAGCTGTTGGAGTGTGAGCAAGGTAATATTTTGTGAAGGGATTCAGGGAAACCAGTTAGCCGAACTTGAGTCCTAAAAATGGGAAGTACAATGCCTGCACTTTGAATGAGGCATTTATGATATTGGCAGTTTGGAGGAGTGTCTAAACTGTCATATCTGAGCACCTCTGCAAAGACAATGATCATATATGAGTGATGGTGAAAGTGTTTAATGATGTTTTTTCTTTCTTTATGGGTTTTTCTTTCTTTTTGGGTCACTCTGCCTCGGTGGGAAGCGGCTGATGTGTTAAATAAAAAATAAAGACTAGTAATGTAATACTGTATATACAAAAGAATCCTCAAATTTGCATGCTTCAATTAGCTCACATTTCTACTTAAGCTAACAAATAAATGATGTCTCTGGCAACCTCACCCTCCTTAGCTAAATAGCCAAAATTTCATTGTCATATTATACCCTGTTTTTTAATTACATTAAGAATATTTTTTAATTACATTAAAAAATAATTTTTAATTTTTTTTTTTTTTTTTTTTTTCAACAAGTCGGCCGTCTCCCACCGAGGCAGGGTGACCCAAAAAAAGAAAGAAAATCCCCAAAAAGAAAATACTTTCATCATCATTCAACACTTTCACCACACTCGCACATTATCACTGTTTTTGCAGAGGTGCTCAGAATACAACAGTCTAGAAGCATACACACATAAAGATACACAACATATCCCTCCAAACTGCCAATATCCCAAACCCCTCCTTTAAAGTGCAGGCATTGTACTTCCCATTTCCAGGACTCAAGTCCGACTATATGAAAATAACCGGTTTCCCTGAATCCCTTCACTAAATATTACCCTGCTCACACTCCAACAGATCGTCAGGTCCCAAGTACCATTCGTCTCCATTCACTCCTATCTAACACGCTCACGCACGCTTGCTGGAAGTCCAAGCCCCTTACCCACATGTACATTTATTTATTTATTTATTTATTTATTTATTTATTTACAATTTGAGCATACAGAGGTACAAAAAAATATTGTTCAAGGAAATCTAGATGATATGGTCCCATTAGCTCTCCATACTTATATCAGACCTTACAACAAGCAAATAGAATGTCAGTTCTGATTTACCAGTCTCTGGAGCTTTTCACAGCCACCAAAAGCAAGTCAGTGAGGTAAGTACTTACATAAATACAAAAAGCATCATCCCTTATCATCAAGGGTGAGATGTGTGCTGCATGTTGCTACTGACTGGCTTGCACATAATCTTATATTTACACCAGAATATCGTGCTTTAAATGTTACACTGGAAGTCTATGTTCTTCTGAAGGAATTAAAATAGGACAGAAAAATTTATTTTTTCTGCATTTTTCAAGTATATATACTTGCATTATATGTATGAGTGTTTGTAAAGTATATTTGTACTGACAAAAATGACAGGAAAATACATATTTTGATATAACAATGTACATGAATAAATTTCAGAAACAAATACAAAGTTAAATTTATCACTTTCAATGTGCACCTATTTGGGACACAGAAGTATGTACTATAGCATTGTACTACCATTCCTCTCTTCATCATCATCCTGTTTAAATTTCCAGTAGTTATCACACACACCACATCCTCTTGAAGTTCATTTCACATATGTCTAGCCAGCCAGATAGGCACCTATCCAGCCAGAGAACCAGCCAGTCAAATAGGCATCCATCCATCCATCCAGCCAATTCTATTCACAAACAGGTACAGGTAATATGAAGTACAAAGTAATATGAAATTGTGAATTTAAAAAAAAAAAAAAAAAAAAAAAAAGTCTTCCACCTCTTCCTTTAAATATACTTTCAAGATCTTGTTTGCTGCTATTATGTCTGTTTTTCCTGTCATGAAGGAATTTCCTCCTGTTGTAAACACAGGAAGTTCCTGTTTTCAGTCTTACTTGGTGTCCCGTAGCTCGATTGCTAGCACATGCAATATTTTGAACTTTGTGTTAAATTGGCCAAATTACCAATTTCTGATCACTTTATTTTGTAGTTGAAACAGTTGACTTGGCGATTTCTTGTGGTCAATCGATAGAATAGAAGTAATACTAGTGAAATAGCTAAGAATTTGATCGACTGCAATAATGTAATTGGCCTAAAATGGGAGTCAAATTCGGCAAAATTGCCGATTCGTAAATATCGCTGACACATCAAAATTCGCGAGAGCATAATTTCGTCAATTTTCCATCAAATTTCGTACTTTTTGTTTTATTACCTTCAGAAAAAGATTATCTACCATTTCATGAGAAAAAATAAAAAAAATTTTTTTTGAAAATTCTTGGACCCTGGTGCGCACTTCGAAATTTGGCCTCTGGACCCTGAAAGGGTTAAAATGGGTAATTGGGTGTTAGTCGACTGGTGTGGGTCACATCCTGGGACAAAACTGACCTAATTTGCCTGAAATGCACAGCATAACAAGCGGCTTTCTGTTCAGTAGTATGTCACTGATGTCAGCTAGACCTGTATACCTTGTACATGTACTTGTAGTAAATAAAGATATTATTATTTTTATCTTTTTTTTCAAAAAGTCGGCTGTCTCCCACCGAGACAGAGCGACCCAAAAAGAAAGAAAATCCCCAAAAAGAAAATACTTTCTTCATCATTCAACACTTTCACCTCACTCACACATAATCACTGTTTTTGCAAAGATGCTCAGAACACAAAAGTTTAGAAGCATATACGTATAAAGATACATAACATATCCCTACAAACTGCTAATATCCTGAAACCCCTACTTTAGAGTGCAGGCATTGTACTTCCCACTTCCAGGACTCAAGTCCGGCTATATAAAAATAACTGGTTTCCCTGAATCCCTTCACTAAATATTACCCTGCTCAATCACTACGAACTTTGCTAATTTATCTCGGTGCCAACAAGCAAATCTACCCATTCACCCCTTAATGCAATTTATTTCAGATATCCACTGCATTAATAATTTAGAAACTTACTAAAGTGTTCATCATCCCCTTTCAAAGCCTCCCTCCATTTCTGTGGAATCCCATTTTCAAATGCTGGCTTGGCATGTCGTTCGAACCCTCCCACAACAAACTGCTGGTTGCGGGCGAGGCAGAATGTATGTGAATCATAATCTCGAACAACTGGTAATCCATCCTGTGCTTCTGTTACAGGTCTGAAACGTCAAAGCATTTATGAAAATAAGCAAAACTATTAGGACATGACAAACAAAATTAAAAAAAAAAATTTAACACATTAAAAGTACAAAACTGATACCTGATTACTGCACAGTATTACATTTGTGCAAAAGCAATAAACTCATAAGGGCATACAGTGCCTGGGGAATAGATTGTAATCAAGTTTAATAACTAAATAACAAAAAAGGCACAATACCGTGACTGGAACGAAACACAAATAACCCACACATAAAAGAGAGAAGCTTACGACGACGTTTCGGTCCGACTTGGACCATTGACAGAGTCACACTAACCAGAAGTGGAGCAGGACGGCTATATATAGGCAGGAAGAGGTGGTGGTGGTGGTAGTAGTAGTAGTAGTAGTAGTAGTAGTAGTAGTAGTAGTAGTAGTAGTAGTAGTAGTAGTAGTAGTAGTAGTAGTAGTAGTAGTAGTAGTAGTAGTAGTAGTAGTAGTAGTAGTAGTAGTAGTAGTAGTAGTAGTAGTAGTAGTTAGTAGTAGTAGTAGTAATAGTAGTAGTAGTAAGTAGTAGTAGTAGTAGTAGTAGTAGTATAGTAGTAGTAGTAGTAGTAGTAGTATAGTAGTAGTAGTAGTAGTAGTAGTAAGTTAGTAGTAGTAGTAGTTAGAGATGGTATATAGTACCGTAAGGTATGAATATTATAGAAAGTAGTGTAATAAGGGTATCCTATATAGTAGTTATAGAAGAGCAAGTCCACAGGATGGAATTAAACTTGCAAACCCGTTTCATGACTTCCATCCACCGATGTGGAACCAGCTTCTTCTTACTGAGCCTCGCTTGTGGATGAACATCTTTGCTCTGTGGCCTCATGACTCCAGTCTCTTCCAACCTTTTCTTGAAGCTCTTAATAATCTTGCCCCTTCCATTAAGTTTAAAGCTGAATGGGAATCTAATTCCTTGCTTCCTTTCCTTGATGTCCATGTCCACCGCTCAAATACAGGTTTTTCCTTTTCCGTTTACCGAAAACCTATGCACAGTGGCATGTACATTCACTACTTTTCCTATCATGCTTCCCCTGTCAAGAAAAGTGTTCTTATCTCCCTCTTTCTCCGCACCCTCCGCATCTGTGATCCTCAGTTCCTTCCAGCAGAAATTTCCACTCTTCATATTTCGTTTTCCAGTCTTGGCTACCCTTCCCATTTCACAGACTCTGCCCTCTCACGTGCCAAACGCAATTTCTTCTCTCCCAAACTTTCTACTCCTGGGAACTCTTCTATCCTCTGCCTTCCCTACATTTCCGGTCTTTCTAATCTCAACAATTCTCTCTGTCCCTTAGACATCAAGCTTACCTTCCGCCGGACTAACACTCTTCGCACTAATCTCGTTCATACCTCTCCTCCCTCTACAGATGTTCCTGGTGTCTACTCTATTTCTTGCTCCTCCTGTCCTCTTCAATACTTTGGAGAAACTGGTCGATCTCTTTCTGACAGACTTAGGGAGCACAAAAATAGTGTTAGGCTTGCCGACACTAACAATGCTCTTTTCTGTCACGTCAGAGATCATAGCCATCCTATTGACTGGTCTTCTGCTAAAACTGTCTTCCCTACTTCCAACTCGAACAGTCGCCGTCTAGTTGAATCCTCTCTAATACACAACTTTCCTTGTATGAACCATAGCCCTGGCTTCGTCTCTGTAGATGCCTTCCTCTCCCACTACATTGTAAAATGCTCCAAACTTCAGAACACCCGTGACTTAACCTGACTCCTCATTTTTTTCTTTTTCTTTTTCTTCTCCCTCTTCCCCTTTCTTCTTTCCTTTTCTCCTCTGGGTTGTCTTTCTCTCTTCTGCCTCGTGTTTCTGTTCCTTCTTCATTTATTTCACCATTTCCCCTTTCATGCACCTCTGTGCGCTTGCTCTCCCTCAGTGGGCACCTAGCTCTCCTGCAGTGCTCCCCTTCCTTTGTATTTGACTGGCTCGTCCTCCTTATTTCCCACTTCTACCACTACCACTACTACTACTTCTTCTACTACTACTACAAGTACTGATGAAATTAAGACACATGTGCGGCGTCTGGTTGTCTTTGTTGTGGACGTTTCGCCATCCAGTGGCTGGCTGGATGGCGAAACGTCTACGATAGGGATGCCCGGGTGTTGCGCATGTGTCTTAATTTCATCCTGTCGGTATTATATATAATTCTTGTACTACTACTACTACTACTACTACTACCACCACCTCTTCCTGCCTATATATAGCCGTCCTGCTCCATTTCTGGTTAGTGTGACTTTGTCAATGGTCCAAGTCGGACCGAAACGTCGTCGTAAGCTTCTCTCTTTTATGTGCGGGATATTTGTGTTTGTGTCAAGTTTAATACATTGGAAAGGTAGCTATAATTCCTTGGATCAAGAGCAGTCTACCTGCAACAAGGCTTCCATTGAGATTTAATATACTGTACACTATTGGTATAAAGAACATTTAAAACAACTTAAATTTGAAGTTAAAATTAAAAATTATTTTATTTCTTTTGAGCCATACATATTAATTACATATGAATAAATTATATTCTGAATTTGATCTTATTATAATACAGATATAATTAGATATGATACAGAAGAAAGCCACTAATAGTGCAAATGCATTTCAGGCAGACTAAACATAAGGTTTACAAACTACTTATATCTAGACCTAGTACAGGTCCGCCATCACAAATCCGGCAATCAGTTATTCGGTTCCTTCAGTTATTCGGCACTAATTTTGGCTAGCATAATTTCAAATTTCCAGGGTTGCCATACCAATCTGCTGGTACTGTTTGGTGGCGCTACTTGCTGCATAAGTCATTCCAATTTCTTTTTCTCCATTTATTGTTTTAACCTGCTTACTTTTAGCCCTAGCCATGGTTCCAATGAATAAAAGAAATGCTTCTCATTGTGTAAAGCACCTACACAGTACATTATCCATTAAAGATAACGTGGCTTTGAAGCCACTGTCAGTTGCCATGAGCTCAGTCTCATGAAGCAGGAGAATATGCTTTATTATTATGCTAATATCAACACTACAGCTTATTTGCTTATCACAATTGATCTAATATGACATAATAAACAATATAAATAACATAAAACATGTTAAATACTCTAGAATAAATAATATTTGGCATAACACCAAGCAGTTCGACGAAGGTATGAAGAGGATATATGGTATACAAATACCATTCTCCTATCCCTGTCTTGGGGGCTTATATTAGAGAAAACGGAGTATAGCACAAGGCTAACTGTGATATACACTCGTACTGCACCATAAACCTGAAACAAAAAAGTTATTTTCTCTATATAGATTATCACACAACTACCAGTGCAATATTGAATGAAATAAACATTACTTTTTCACTTTTTTGTAATCATTATTACTTACTAAAATTTTATTAAACACCATATTTACTACCAGTCAATTTTACTTTTGTACATTAAACATTATTTTATACTTCCCATAACATTTTGTTGCCAAATTTTCAAGTTTGTATATTCAACTCCAACCTTTATATTATCCTTTGTACCTGTGTACCTGTCTACCATCTTACTATCATATTATAACCAAGACATTACCCTTGTTATTTTTTTACTATTATTCTTTTGGTACTTTAATTGTGAATTATATTTTGTCAATTTAAATCTAGTTATACTCCTGATCTTGTCAACAACCTATACCAGACTCTAGTGCAATTGCAAGTACCATTTCAATTTGTATTTTTATATTATAAGTTTGTATTATAATTCCTACTCTAAGATTGTTTTCATATCTTAGTGACTATATTGTGTGTGCAATTAGTGTATTTTTCAATTATATTATTGTTCAAGGCCCTTAACTATCTTTTGCTAACTAGTACCAACTACCTCATATATTTTTTTTTCTACTTTTTTTATTCTTTTGCTACCTTAACTTGCATATTTTATCTTGTCAATTTAAATCTAGTTATACTCTAATTCTTGTAAACAACTTATATAACACCTTAGTGCAATTACAATTGAGAGTCTTGTGCCTTTTTTATATTATTAGATTAAACTCAGTTGTACTATAGTCAATACCAAATTCATTATGTTAGACCATATTGCAATTACTAGTGAGAGACTGGTGCTATTTTTAATTTGTATTGTTATATTATTAGATTAAATCTAGTTGTACTTTAGCTCATTCTAGCTCAAAACATAGACTCCACAAAAGTCATTATATTAGACCTTAGTGCAATTATTTGATTACCACTTTATTGTTCACCACAACTTATATTAGTCCCTTTTATATTATAATTTTATATTATAATTCTAACTTTAAAGAATTACCTTTAAAGTACTACCTACTATCATATTCCCAAGCTCCATTATTTGATCATCACTTTATTTGTTCACCACAAATTATTTTAGTCCCTTTTATATTGTCTCCTTTATTTTAGCTTTAAAAACCTACCTTAGCTCATTATTTTTACATTTGTTAAATAATTCAGGTGCTATTTTTTTTTTAGCTTTAGAATATTTACTTTATTTTTTACTTAATTCTAACTATAGATTCACTACAAATCTTATGATTACAAGCATTGATCCTGATACCAACCTCTTATTTAATGACTTAAATGATTCAAACAGTAACTGTAATTACTACACAGCAGAACAATCAAAGGCACTTCTCAGAGCTAACAACAACATAATTATCTTTAACTACAATATCAGATCTTTAAGCAAGCATTATGATGACCTCCTAGCATTACTAAATTCCTTGCATGCCAATATGTCCATCATTACACTAACTGAAACCTGGCTAAAGCCTGATACTACAGATGTCTATGCCATTCCTGGTTACACAGCCATACACAACTGTAGGCCAGACCAACAAGGGGGTGGCACTGCTATATACTACTCAGACCAACTAGAATGTATCACTAATACTTGCACAAGGGATGAACATGGGGAATATATAATACGTAGCTAAATTCAAATCCAAATACCTACAAAAACCTCTCACAGTGATAAACATCTACAGAGTTCCACAATCAAACATTAGCCAATTTAGTCAAAACCTAGGAAGTATGATAACTGATGCACACATGAACAAAGATCACTTACTACTCTCAGGTGACTTCAATATAAATCTCCTGCAAGACCAGGACCCACGCGTTACTGAATTCACAAACACAATGAGTAACTGCATGTTGCTACCAACAGTAACAAAACCTACAAGAGTTACAGAGACTAGTGTTTCCCTACTTGACCACATCTGGACCAACACCATATCCCCTTTAAAATCAGGCATAATTACAGATAATACCACAGACCACTACCCTACTTTCCTCATAACAACTCTTGGTAAAATACCCCAAGACACTACTAAAGTCACCTTCAGACTTCACAATGAGGCAGCCATTAATAACTTCACAACAGCAGTAACAAACATTGACTGGCACACTGAGCTAGAAATCTATACAGATATTGACGAATGTTTTAATAATTTTCTAAAAAAGACCCAATACCTTTATAACAAGCACTGCCCTAAAAAAACTAAACAGATAACAGCTAAGAGACTGAACAGTCCCTGGCTAACACCTAGCATTCTCAAATCCATAAATACAAAACACCGATATGAAAAACAGTACAGAATGGGTCACATAACCAGAGACCAAACAAAACGTTACTCGTCAATCCTAACCAACCTGATAAGAAGGGCAAACAAATTGTATTATGAGAACAGATTATCCAACTTACGAGGTGATATAAAAAAGACCTGGAAGACCCTATCAGAAATTCTGGGAACAAAAAAGATATCACGACATAGCGAAATAAAATTAGCAAAATCAGATGAACCCCAACTCCCACCAACAGAAACAGCAAACAGACTCAATGATTTCTTCTCCACTATAGGTCAAAACCTTGCCAATAATATCCCAAGCTCAGATACCCCACCAAATGACTACCTCACTGGCAACTACCCGAACACACTGTTCCTAGCTCTGACTAACCCATACGAAGTCTCCCTTATTATCAACGCACTGAAAAACAAGGCAGGAGATTTAAATACCTTACCACCCTTTATATACAAAAAAGCATCACAAGTACTATCACCAATCATTGCAACACTCTTTAACAAATCCATTGAATCCTCCACCTTCCCTACAGTTCTCAAAATAGCAAGGGTCACCCCAATCCATAAAGGAGGAGACCAAACAGAGTTGAATAACTATAGGCCAATATCCAATTTACACCCTCTCTCAAAAATCTTCGAAAAATTAATTCATAAACGAATCTACTCCTACCTCATCGCCCAAAACATTCTCAACCCCTGCCAATTTGGATTCAGGCCTAATAAAAATACTAATGATATTATTATACACATGCTAGAACATATATACACTGCAATAGAGAAAAAAGAAGTCCCACTGGGGATCTTCATTGACATACGTAAAGCTTTTGATACAGTTGACCATGACTTGCTCCACGTAAAATTGTCACTCCCTCAACTACCTCAAGTCTTACCTCAGCAACAGAAGCCAATATGTGTACGCAAATGGGGCAAGCTCTTCCGCACAACTAATTACAGTTGGTGTCCCACAGGGAAGTGTCCTTGGCCCTCTTCTCTTTCTCCTATACATAAATGACCTACCAAATGCTTCGCAATTACTCAAACCCACACTTTTTGCAGATGACACTACATACGTCTTCTCTCACCCGAGCCCAGTCACGCTAGCCAATACTGTAAACACCGAATTACAGAAAATATCTACCTGGATGAGGACTAACTTTAAACACCGAATTACAGAAAATATCTACCTGGATGAGGACTAACAAACTTACACTAAACATTGACAAAACCTACTTCATTCAGTTTGGTAACAGAGCTACAGATGTACCTCTTAACATAACAATAAACGGATCACCTATCACAAAGCTAACAGAGGGAAAATTCCTAGGAATCCACCTCGATAATAGACTCAAATTTCATACACATATACAACAAATTTCTAAGAAAATCTCCAAGACTGTAGGCATACTATCGAAGATACGGTACTATGTTCCACAGTCAGCCCTCCTGGCCCTTTATCACTCTCTTATTTACCCCTATCTCACCTATGGAATTTGTGCATGGGGCTCAACAACAATTAACCATCTCAGACCACTAATTACCCAACAAAAGGCTGCAGTTAGAATGATAACAAATTCTCACTACAGGCAACACACTCCACCAATATTCAAAACACTCAACCTACTCACCATACAAAACATCCATACTTATTATTGCACCTATTACATACATAGAACACTTAACTCTGATATTAACCCTCCCCTCAAACATCTCCTTGCCAACCTCAACAGAACACATGACCATAACACAAGGCACAGATCACTCTTTGATGTTCCTCGTGTCCATCTCACACTATGCAAAAACTCAATGCACATAAAAGGCCCTAAAATCTGGAATTCATTACCTGTAAATATAAAAGAAACACTACCTGTTTATAAATTCAAGTCTCTTCTCAAAGATCACTTACTCACTCAAAACCAAATAAATACTGAATAACTGAACCTTATAAATTGTATATCCTATATGTTACTCACAATTATATCACATAAATGTTAAACCTAGGACCCAATCTAACTTTGTTATTTTTTTAAATACACTACCTAACAATGCATGCAACCATATGACCTGTCTTTGTAATACTCATTTGTGCTTTATAGTTATCTGTTTACAATAATGTTTTATCACTGATTTCATCATTGCTTAGTTAATCTTAAGTTAATTTTAAGCCAGCCCGTAATGCTATGCATATAAGTGGCTTTGGCATGCTGCTCTTACCTGTATTTTTTGTACCTCTGTTTGTATGCTTAAATTACTAAATAAATAAATTACTAAATATGTGTAGAGAACCTAGGATAACCCAAAAAAGTCAATGTGGCTTATTTTTAGTACCTGGCTTGGGTTAGCCATATATGATTTTTGGTAAATATTCGATTCCCAGCCAAGGTAGAAACATTAGGCGTGTTTCTTTACAACTGTTGTCTATGTTTACCCATCAGTAAATGGGTACCTGGGTGTTAGCCGACTAGTGTGGGTGTTATCCTGGGACACTGACCTAATTTTCTTGAAATACTCTGCATAACAAGCGGCTTTCTATACAGTAGTATGTCACTGATGTCAGCTAGGCCTGTATACCTTGTACATGTACGTGTAGTAAATGAAGATATTATTATTATCATTATTATTATTATTATTATATTATTATTATTATTTTCTCAGTTGTTTGTTGGGTTATCTTATTCAAACTTGGGAAATGTATGATGGAAAGATACTTCTTAACATACACCAAAAATGAAAGAAATCAGACCATAAATAGCGGAGTTCACTTCTCACCCATTAGCGGCCGCTTAGCTGGGTTGACATTATTTATACAATTATTACAATAATGCAGTAGTCTGCATTATTGTGTGAATAAAAATTCCAAATGGTAAGCAAGAGTAATATAAGAGGGGCCTGGAGCCATGACTAATGAACAGAGAAGATGTTATTTTAGTGTCAGGAATGTCTGCAATATTTATTCTGGACCCTATTTTGAAATTGGCATCTGTTGAAATTTGTGTGAAATTGGCCAAACTGACAATTTCTGACCACTTTATTGGGTAGTTGAAATAAGTGAATGGGCAGTTTCTTGTACTCAGTCGACAGACTAGAAGTAAATAAGTTTACTCAGGTATATACAAATACAGTTACATAGATTATCATGCATAGCAGTGTATGTATAGAGAACCTAGGATAACCCAGAAAAGTCAGACAAAGTGACTTATTTCCAGTACCTGGGTTGGGCTTGCCATATATGATTTTTGGTAAATATTTTTTTTTTCTCAGTTGTTTGTTGGGCTATCTCACTGAAACTTGGGCAATGTATGATGGAAAGATGCTTCTTAACGTACAACAAAAACAAAAAAGAAGGATGATAAATAAGGGAGTTCACTTCTCAGCCATTAGCCGCCCCTTTGCAGTATATTTTCGTATGGTTTTTATGGTTGTATTCTCATTTTTTTGGACTCATTTGATAGAATGGAAGATATATTACAGAAATAGACATGATTTTGATTGCTTTCGTGACGAAAAGTGCCTTGAAATCGAGCTCAAAGTACCGGAAATGTTCGATTTTTTCGTCAGTCAAGTTGGTTAATTTTATTAAGTGTATTCTAACCTAACTACTCTGTAATCCGGCAAACTCAGTAATCCGGCACACTACAGGTCCCAATGATGCCGGATTTGTGATGGAAGACCTGTATATAATTAAAGTCAGGACAGCTTGGGTAATTCATTACAATCATATGCACAATTAGACAGGTTGCAAATGAAGAATTGGTCAATTACAAATAAATACAGCCTCTCCTCACTTAACGATGGAGTTCCATTCCTAAGACCACATTGTTAAACGAATTCGTCGCTAAGTGAGCAGCATACTATAATGGTAGTGAGTTTGTGTCAATCATCTTTGATATTGTTTTAATGTCACCTTTGCACCATTTATAACATTTCTGGTATAGTTTTAAATGTTTATACAGTAGTGTACTGTAGTATATTGAAATAAACAGAATAGAGAAAATCAGCTAATATGCATTATTTAGGTATGAATACTGGTCAGAGACCCTGTTGTAAGTCCAAGGAGTTGGTAAACGAGTATGTCGCTAAGTGAGGAGAGACTGTACTTGGAAATTACAGTGAACCCCAGACTTATGAAGGCCTCATCTAACGATAAAATTGACTTATGAAGTGTTTCAGTGTAAAAAATTTCCCCCGACGTACGAACAAAAACTCTAACTTTCATCATTCGTCCTGAACACGTCCACGCATCCCTCTGGCCTGAGCGCGCCTTAGCTGCCCTGCCTTCAGTTAGTGTGCCAATGTTTACAAGCCAGTGCGGTCGTTCCCACGCATACATTCAGTACATTTTGTATTATTCCAGTGTTTTTAGTGCTTGTAACTGCTAAATAAGCCACCATGGGCCCAAAGAAAGCTTCTAGTGCCAACACTGTGGTAAAAAGGGTGAAAATTACAATCGAAATGAAGAAAAGAGATAATCACAAAATATGAGAGTGGAATATGTGTCTTCGAGCTGGTCAGGTTGTACAACAAACCCCAATCAACCATCGCTACTATCTTGGCCAACAAAAAGGCAATCAAGGAAGCTGTTGTTGCAAAAGGTGCAAGTATCTTTTCGAAACACAGATCGCAAGTACTCGAAGATGTCGAGAGACTGTTATTGGTGTGGATTAATGAAAAACAGATATCAGGAGATAGCATCTCTCAAGCAATCATATGTGGAAAGGCAAGGCAGTTGCATGATGATTTAATTAAAAAAATGCCTGAAACTAGTGGTGATGTGAGTGAATTTAAGACCAACAAAGGTTGGTTCGAGAGATTTAAGAATCGGAGTGGCATACACAGTGTGATAAGGCATGGTGAGGCTGCCAGTTCAGACAAAAAAGCGGCTGAAAAATATGTGCAGGAATTCCAGGGGTACATAGAGGCTGAAGGACTGCAACCCCAAGAAGTGTTTAATTCTGACGAAACAGGCCTGTTTTGGAAGAAAATACCAAACAGGACTTATTTTACACAGGAGGAAAAAGCACTCCCAGGACACAAGCCTATGAAGGACAGGGTTACTTTAATGTTGTATAGTAATGCAAGTGGGGATTGCAGAGGCCTCTACTCGTGCATCACTCAAACTCCCAGTGTGTTCAAGAAAAACAATGTCGTCAAGGCTAATTTGTTTGTGACGTGGAGGGCAAACAGTAAGGCATGGGTCACTAGGGACATTTTCTACGACTGGTTTTACCATGTGTTTGGCCCCACTGTGAAAAATTACCTCCTGGAAAATAAATTGGACCTTAAGTGCCTCCTGGTATTAGACAATGCTCCTGCTCATCCTTCAGACTTGCCAGAGCAAATTTCGGGGGAGTTGAGTTTTATTAAAGTAAAGTTTTTGCCTCCTAATACCACTCCTCTCCTCCAGCCCATGGACCAGCAGGTCATTTCAAATTTCAAAAAAACTGTACACCAAAGCAATGTTTCAAAAGTACTTTGAAGTGACCTCAGACACTCGATTGACACTAAGAGAGCTTTGGAAAGATCACTTTAGTATCCTCAATTGCATAAACCTTATAGGTAAGGCTTGGGAGGGAGTGACTAACAGGACCTTGAAATTTGCTTGGAGGAAACTGTGACCAAAATGTGTAGAAGAGAGGGATTTTGAAGGGTTTGGGACTAACCCTGAGAAGCCTATGCCAGTTGTGGAATCTATTGTGGCATTGGGGAAGTCCATGGGGTTGGAGGTTAGTGGGGAAGATGTGAAAGAGTTGGTGGAGGATGACGATGAACTAACCACTGAAGAGCTGCAAGAGCATCTGCAACAGCAAGAGGCCACAACTGAGGAAATTGCTTCAGAGGAGGGGAGAGAGAAATTGAGGAAGTTGCCTTCTTCAACAATTAAGGAAATGTTTACAATGTGGACAAAGGTGCAAACCTTTATGGAGGAAAATCACCTTGACACAGCTATTGCAAGCTGTGCTGGTGACTTTTACAATGACAATGTTGTGACCCACTTTAGGAAAATCTTAAAGGAACACGAGATACAGAGCTCTATGGACAGATTTTTGGAGCGACAGAGGTCCAGTGACTCTCAAGTTGATCCCAGTGGCATTAAAAGAAGAAGGGAAGTAAACCCAGAAAAGGACTTGTTACCTAAAGTCCTTATGGAAGGGGATTCCCCTTCCAAAAAATAATAAACCTCCATCTCCCCTCCTCCCATCCCATCACTCATCACTACAGCTTCAATAAAGGTAAGTGTCATTTATTCTTCATTTAGTACAGTACGTATACTGTACTGTACGTATCCTTCTTTTTGTGTGTAAGAAAATGTATATTTCATGCAGTAAATTTTTTTTTTCATACTTTTGGGTGTCTGGAACGGATTAATTGGATTTCCATTATTTCTTAATGGGAAAATTAATTGATAAATTAGAAATTAGAAAATTAATTCACAATATGATAATTTCATCTAACGATGAGCTCCCTGGAATGGATTAATATCGTAAGTCGAGGGTCCATTGTATCTTGGTTCAATGACCTACATTTTTTGGAGTAGTTGAAATGAGGTGGTGAAATCAAAAGCCTGAATGAGAGCTGATTTTTTCTTGAGTAACAATGGGATGACGGTGATTATTTTTGTTGATCCTTATGAACAGATACCACAAGTGAGGTATGGATACATTAGAGAGTAGAACAAAGTGAGCGGATATGTTTGGAGAACATATTACGTAGCATATTTTTAAAAGAATGCTCACTGTTTTGAATATTTTTTTTTTAGAAATGTTCTGGATCTGTGTTGAATTTTAGTTTACTGTCCAGATGTATTTCCAAGTACAGTGGAACCCCGGATTTCGAACTTAATCCATTCCAGAAGGTCATTCTAGATTTGAAAAGTGCAAAAACCAAAGTAATATTTCCCATAAGAAATAATGTAAATACAATTAATCCATTCCAAACACCCAAAAATATTCACAAAAAAATTCATTTTTTAAAGAATAACTATAGTTTTACATACAGAAAACAATTAGAAATAAATATAGATACACATAAAAATTACAT